GAAGGGCGGGATGCTCAGGTGGCTCCGTGCTCAGCAGTCCTGGGCCGCCTGCTGCCCCCTGGCTGGAGAGAAGAGGTCTGAAGCAAATTTGGGCCATAACTTGGCTCCTGTTTTGCAAGTCATTCAAGCCATGTTAGGGTCCTTCTAAGTCATGTTGGCAGCCAGGGTGTGTGACTAGCTGCCCGTCCTGACCTCTTGGGCCAGGGGCTGGCTGTGACATTCTACTACCATCAGTTCTGATTTATGTTGAGCTGTGTTTCTGCTATTATTTACTCCCTGAGAGCCCTTATGGACCAAGGAATTTTCTTTTTGTGCAGATTGATTCTCAGTGTCTAGGATGACCAAATACTCTGTTTCTTTTTTACTCATTACATGATCCAGTTTCCTTTTCAAAGTGTATTCATGGAACATCTATTTATGATGAGAGTCAGAGATGTAGCAATGAATATGGCAGATACAGTCCCAGCCTTTGTGGAACTTCTTGCACTGTACAATCATATGTTCTGATTTAGGATTTGTATCATATACTGACCTTGTGAACCTAAACTTCCCAGTGGCTAGTAAATCCTTTGCAGCAAAAATTTAGGCTGGGTTAGTTTTCTGAAGTTTCCCTTTCTTTCTAAGGCACCTGCTGCTAAATGTATCTCTAGGGAAACAGTCATAGTATGAGCCTGCAGGCAAATTTTAAGTGATGTGCACTCCCAGGGAACAGCTTGAGAGATTCTCTGTGTTACTGATTACATCTGTCATTAATACTGGTGCATTTCTCTTAGAGAATATGGAATGCCCTTTTGGTGGGTTGCTTCTTTTTCCCCCTTTTGGTAGAAACTTTCTTTTTATTCCACACATTTATTAGGGCTTTTGTTTTCAAGGTGGTTTTGCCTAGTACTTTTTTTATCTAGTTTTTCTTTAATCCCTACTGCCCCCAATCTGCCTGGTATTGTTTCATGCCCAGGAGGATTTAATAGGTCTAGTGTACATTTTTAAAAATTTGTTTTTTTAATATCAGGCAACATTATAAGAAGGTTTTTAAAAATTGAGTTTCAGAAAGTTTCAGACATATACAAAAGGAGACTGGATCATGTAATGAGTAATTGACCCATACTCCATCACCCCCAACAACCCTCAACTCACATCCAGTCCTGCCTTGTCTATACTGCCTTCTGCCCTGTATAAAGAAATAAATATACGTCATCAACCTTTCAACATGTTCTCTAAAAGGTAGACTTTCTTAATGTTATCACAATGCTCTTTCCATGCTTAAAAAAGTAATATTTGCCTTGTAGAGAGATATTTTAAAAGATACATGGGGATAAACATTTAGCTACAGACACTTTGCCCAACATATTAGCTCTTTTCATTTTTTCCTGTGCTCTCCAGTTTTTGACCAAAGGCATACTGATATTTTAAAAAAATCAGAGCAGTCTCTGACCCTTAGCAACTTTTCTGAGTGTATACATGTGACTGGGGCAAACACTAGCTCTCTATTCCTCCATTTAAGAGGAATGAAGGGTGTTCCCTTCAGTTGGGCCATATGGATGTAATTCCCAAGACCTCTTCCAACTTTTAAAACTCTCTATTTATTCAAAATCTTATTAAGAAACTCATTGAATGTCAATTGCTGTTGGATGCTGGGGATTACATGGAAATGAAGACCCACGAGGTCCTCTGACTTGCTGGAACTGACATTCCATAGGGAAGCAGGCCTTGCATGCATAAGGATGTTAACATATACTAGCAGGCACTCAGAGCTGTGCTAGGGAAGTGCTGTGAGGCTAGACCAAGGAGACTTAATGGGTCTGAAGCGTCAGGGAGGGCAAGACATTCTTGACGGAGGGACGTTTCAGCCCAGCAGTGCAGGGAGAGGGAGTAGCTTGTGTAAATTCCCTGAAGCAAAAAGGAAGATGGCCAAGAAAGAAGAGAAGGGAGGCCATGAGGCAGGAGTGATGCTGAGGGTGGGATGGAGAAGTGGAAAAGAGCCCTGCATCCTGGGCCTGCCTCTTCCAAATGGCTCCAGGACCTGAGAGCCAGGCTATCTAGGCTTCCCTGCCCCTTGAGGCCTTGGAATGCCACTTGGAAATGTGAGTTTCAGTTCCTTTCCTGACTCTTAGCTGTTTTGGAGTCACTATGACCAAGAAAAGGGCGTAGATTTGAACAGGCCTTGGAAGAAGTAATAATATTTACACACTGTGATTATTGTGAGGATTAAAGAAAATATATCTCATAAAATCTCTAGACAGCAAGTAGTTTTTCTTTCTCTCTCTTTATAAATGTTCCTTCCCTTTCCCTGTCATGGCCCAGCCTCTCCGCAGGCTCCGTCAGGAATCACCTCCTTCTAGAGTGGCCTTACCCATGGCCCCACTACTGAGTAGAGTCCTGGGGCCGCTTCTTTCCCTGAGCACCTTTTATTTAGACCCTGACATTCATAAAAAGGACCAATTCAAACATAATGCTTTTGTTGGCAAAAAAATTCAAAGAGTACAAAAGAGCATAAAGGAAAAACCGAAATCCCATTTTGCTGAGCAAACTGCCATTAAAGGTTTGGAATCCTTCTTTTTAGATGTTCGACACACACAAACACACACAGTCTTAAGAAATGGGAATTTTTTTTACTTAGTGTATCTTAGTTATCTCTCCACCTACACACAACTTTTAGACTCAGGCCCTCTTGGGCAGTGTTCTACAGACCTCATTGTCCTCGGCGTTGTTTATATTTTCCTCCTTCAGTGGTGGCCCTCATCTCCCTGCTCCGGCCCTCTGTATCCAGCCACCTGAGCTTTCCTGCAAGATAGTCCTCCTTTGCTTTGCAGAAACGCATTTCACCCAAACCTTATGTCATCATCAACTTGTTTTTCAGGAAGTGGGTGGAATCCATGACTGAGAGAGTTTGCTTCTGTTTCCTGGTATGTGGGGAGTTTCATTAGAGATTTTCCTCTTTCTAATCATGTGCCTAATAAATTGGGGATAATTTAATGCCAGCTTGTCACCCCTCTGAGAACCATTTAACAGCTCAGTTACCTTGCCGGGTGTGGTGGCTCACACCTGTAATCCTAGCACTTTGGGAGGCTGAGGTAAGAGGATTGCCTGAGCCCAGGAGTTTGAGACAAACATGGGCAACATGATGAGACCTCACCTCCACAAGAAATAAAAAAAATTAGCCAGGCTAATGGCACACACCTGTAGTCCCAGCTATTTGGAAGGCTGAGAAGGAAGGATCACCTAAGCCTAGCAGGTTGAGGCTGCAGTAGCCATGAGCGTGCCACTGCACTCCAGCCTGGGGGACAGAGTGAGACTCTGACTCAAGCAAACAAACAAACAAACAAGCAAACAACAACAGTTCAGTTACCCAAACTTATGTACAAATCTCAAGGGTGGCATCTATACCCCTGAGGCTCAGGTGTGAAGGTCTTGGGTGGAAGCATTTACCAGAAGCAAGTACAAAGTGTCATAGCCCATCTTATATATCTTTTTCCAAGTATGTACAGAAAGATGAGAAGCAATGGAAATTTTGTTTTCTTATTTTTAAAAAATGCTCACATTATCAAAATAAAACAAAACAAAAAAACAATCAATACGAAAGTGTATAAAGAAAAGAATGAAAAAGAGTGGAAGTCATCCTAACACCCCTACTTCACCCCACTATTTCCTCCTTAGAGGTCTCTGCTGTTAATCATTTGTCATGTCTTTTCTAGACCTTTTTCTGATTGTACAAACTTTGAATGAATGAGATCATAAAGTACTTACTGTTCTACCCCAGTGAATGATTTGAAAATGCAGATCATTACAGTTTTATATGTCAAAAAATATTTTGTGAGTGCATCTCTGTGCAAAAGTAGTTGAAAAATTAGCAGGAGAGCAGAGTTACCATTATGAGATTGGGGCTTCTATGCTGTGGCATTGTAGAGATACCAGGGTCAGCTCTAGGAAAAACTGGGAGAAGGCCAGTTTGTCTATGAAGTCTCAGTCCTTGGTCTTGGTTTGTTTCTTGCCTCTGTCTCTTTCATGTTGTGAGATCCCTCCTCTGTGTCCCTGCATCTATCATATCCTGAAATATGGAAGGTACTTGGTATCAGACAGAAACACAGAACCAGGCTTGACTCTAATTGTGTGACCATAAGCACATTGCTTAACCTCTCCGAACTTCAGTTTTCTCAGACATGAAATGGAAAGACAGAAAGGACAATTGCTGTGTTTCAGAGTAGTTGTGAACATTAAATGTGTTTAGGAATATGTCTACTTTATAGTAGGTGCTCAACAAATCTTAGTTTCCCCCTTAATTTCCTGCTTCCTGAGCCTTTCTTCTACAAAGATGTGTTAAGACTTGGATGTATTGCCCTTTCTAAGGGTCTTTACATTTCAGCAATGACCAAAAGCTTTAACTGAAGGAATTAAGGATCAGCCAGCAGGAGTGGGAGGATTCTTTTGGGCTGGAGTTACTCCCCCTCTATCTGGCTTTTCAGAACTATTTCATGAGTGGTTACAACAGGTTGTATACTAACACCACCTTCTTTTCTCAGAACTTGGCCCCAGAATCAGCCCTACCTTCCAAAGTCAGGTGACTGCCAACCTTAACCTCATGCATTTTAGGCCATGTCAACCTCCAGTGATGAGGAGCTAGTCTACGGGGAAAGACATTATTGAGAACATGAGGTTTCAAACACTTGTTCTTGTTACCAGGGACAACACAAGTCCATCAGGCATATTTGTGGGAGTTATCAAAGAGCATCCCCCTCTGGAAAATGGGACCATGCAGATGTACTAGTAGGTCAATGGGCAGGACCTTATAGAAATTAGTAGAAGACCTGGGTCAATGCAGCCCCAGCCTGTGCCAAATGCAACTTGGTGAGCAGAAACCAGGCTGGATTTGCCATCCCCACTGCCAGGTACTGGTGCTGGGTATAACCCGCATAATCACACATAGTAGGTTCATTATTACAGCTGTTTTCACAAAGCCTAAAGAGTCATTATTTTTTTTTTTCTCTTTTCCTACTTTCTTTTAGCATCCTGACCAAAGCAATGGAGAACCCACCAGGAAACTTCCCCAGGGTGTTGTTTATGGTGTGGTGCGAAGATCAGATCAAAATCAGCAGAAAGAAATGGTGGTGTATGGATGGTCCACCAATCAGCTGAAAGAAGAGATGAACTACATCAAAGATGTGAGCTGTTTAAGTTGGCCTTTTTCCTCTGGTCTATATTCTTTTCGTAGCATGTAAAAGGATGGAATTGGAATTACTGATATGAATGTCATGAGTTTTGAAAGAATTTTTAGTGTTGTCACTTTTGATGGAAATGTTTCTCTGTATCTTCATGGCGTTATTAAAAGTACAGATATAAGCCCGCGGGTTCAAGACCCGCCTGGGCAACTTGGCAAGACCTCATCTCTACAATAAATAAAAAAATTAGCCAGGCATGGTAGTGTGCGCCTGTAGTTCCAGCTACTTGGAAGGCTAAGGTGGAAGGATTGCCGGAGCCCAGCAGGTCGAGGCTGCGGTGGCCGGGAGTGGCCACTGCACTCCTGTCTGGGTGACAGAGTGAGATTCCAACTCAAAAAAAAAAAGTACAGATGTAATTCTGCAAGGAAGGAAAAAGCGAACCTCTGTGGGACAGATATTACTAAGTAGTTATACTCAGGAGACCAGTTGCTTCCTTGTGCCCTGCAGGGTATGGAGGCTGCACCTCAAGTGGTTTTTATTTATCACATTGGACACTCCTAATGTTTAAGTTTGGACAATTGTATACATTTGGATGTTTTTGGTTGCAAGTAACAGGAAAGCCAATCCAAAAGGAAATTTATTTCCAGTGGGGATAAGTCTAGAGGTCCCATCCAGAATGTAGTTCTAGTTCTCTGAGTTCTCTGTGTTTCCATTGGCTCCTTCCTCCTGCAGCCTCGAGCTCATGTTGTCATCTGAAAATATGAGAGTGTCTGGAGAAAGAAAAGAGGCCACCCATCCATGAATATTTTCTAGAGGCCTGCCTTCTATATCCATTAGACTTCCCCTTCTGTCTTGTTGACCAGAACTGGGTCACTTGCCTAGTCTCAAACCCATCCCCAGCAAGGGGAACAGGAAGACTGTAGCTGATTCAGACCGTTCAGTTGGGGTTAATATGAATGCTAGGAAGTCAGCCACAATAGATTCTGGCCAACCAGTCCAATCAGTGCCATTTCTTTGTATTCAGTATTGTATTTCTCATTTTGTTAAATTACATCTTGTTTTGAGAAAATTTAGGAAATGCAAAATGTATGAAGAAGAAAACAAAACTACTCATAATCTCAGCATTTAACCAGAACAGTTGTTAACATTTTGGAGTGTTCTCCCCTCCCCTCCCCTCTCCTCTCTTTCTTTTTCTTTTTGTCTCACCTGTCAGCCCCCAAGATTGATTGATAGCCCAGTTGCCTAAACCAAACTGAATATATGAAAGAGGAAATGGGCTGCTCTGACACCAATGGGCCCAAAACATAGAATTGTGACTTGGAAAGTTCTTGTCAGAAGCATTGGCTGTGTGGAGCAGGGGAGTCACCCAGGCCTGTGAGCTCGCAGACCTTGTTTCAATGCCCAGCTCTGTGTTTGGCCTAGCATGTCACTTTTGCCCTGGGTTGGCTGCAGTTTTCTCATGTATAGATTGCGGGGGCTGGACTCTGACCCCTAAGATCAGAACCTCCAGCTCTTCGAGCCCATTTTATTTGGTGAATTTTTAAATAAGATGCAAAGCCCTATATTCTTGGCTTTTGTATGAGTTTTTAAAAGGAATGTTTCTTATCAAATTTTAAAAATAGTAAATGCTTGGTAGAAAAATTGAGGAGAAGCCAGAAGAGCTACACACATACACATCTGCATACATACACACATACAAAATATGTGTGGCAACCAACAGACTCAAATCCCCAGATACCTCCCAAAGATAATTTTCAACCATCCGAGTACAGTCATACCTGAGTATACCTGAGGGCTTGGTTCCAGGACCACCTGTGTTTACCCAAATCCGCACATGCATAAATCCAATAGTCAGCCCTGTGGAACCACAGATACAAAAAGTCTGCCCTTACTCTATGCGGGTTACACATTTTCAATCCGAATTTGCTTGAAGAAAATCCTGTATAAGTGGATGTTTGTAGTTCAAGCACATGTTGTTCAAGGGCCAATGGTGTTCCATTTCTGATTTTCCTGTTAAGAATAGCTTGAACATTCTAAGTTTCCTGTATTTTTCTCGAGGAAATTCTTGGAACTTCCTTATTTAAATGCTCCTAATGACATGACATTGCCTTAGAGGTCAACCTTTTAAGTAGAATCCAGAGTCCCACATTGTCCAAGACAGACAAGCAGTTCATGCTGATCCATGCTGTCACGGACGTAGCTCTGACCTGGAATTACCCACCCCCACTGTGAGCTGCAACTTCAAACTTATTTCCAGGTGCCCCCTTCTATAGCTGGCTTCCTGTGCATCCCTGGGCTGGTCATCCCTAAGTGTGTTTACAACTTTGTCTGCCCTCATTCCCTTGTGAGTACCTCTCTGGCCCTGCTGGCTTTCTACGTGTTTGCCAGTGGGAGCCACACCCAGATCAAGATTTTACTCATTCACCACTCAGCACAAGAGACAACTCAGGGTCACAGATGAAAGCCATTCTGTCTGCCTAGAATAAAAAGTTGTACTTTTGACCTCATTTTTCTAAAATGTGTGTAGTTAATGGTAAGAAAGTAGACTCTATTATTAGAATTCATCTGAGGAAGACTTGTGGTTGACTCCTCTCTGCCTCCCACATCTCCACCATTATCCAGGCACCTCTAATAAACATGCAGTCTAATTTAAAATAATGTACTTGCATGCAAATGCACCTTCAACGTTGTCTTCCAATGCTGTCCCCTAAATGCTCACATTCTAACCAAACTGCTGCCTTTAAGCCCTTCCTAGAATAGAAATTTTGGAGTGTACCTGGAGAAAACTCTTGAGACTTCCTGTCCTATTTGAGGATTTCTGAGCACTTTGTCTATCCTACTAGGGCACCAGAAGAAGGGAGGGGACAGGGACTGTTTGTAAGGTTTTTCGTTTCATGGAAAAAAATTATTTTTATTTTTATTTTTTTGAGTTGTCGTCTCACTCTGTCACCCAGGCTGGAATACAGTGGCATGCTCATAGACACCCCAGTGTCGACCTGCTGAGCTTCGGCGATCCTTCCACCTCAGCCTTCCAAGTAGTCAGAACTGCAAGTGCATGCTACCATGGCAGGCTACTTTTTTGATTTATTGTAGAGATAGCTCTTGCCAAGTTGCCCAGGCTGTTCTTGAACCCGTGGGCTCAGGCAATCCTCTCACCTCAGGCTCCCAAAGTGCTGGGATTACAGGCTTGAGCCATTGCGCCCGCCCTGAAAAAAATTTTAGTGCCCAGTTATGTCTGACAGTGGTTCCATAGATAAACTTGAACAGTGTTTGTGTAGACAAGTGTTTTGAGGATCACTTAATGTTTGCTATATTTGGTGCCTTGTGCATTATTGGTGATATTGAGGAACTGACTTTCAAATGTGTGGGCTCTCTGGGGCTCATATTTTCCTACTTTCCATTCCAGGTATTTAATTGCTCTTTGGCAGAGTAGAGATAGGGAAAATTTGAGGTTGCTTTTTGGTATCTTGGTTCTTTTCACCAAGCTTTTGCTCATAAAACTTTGTGATGAGGAAAGGGACACATCTTGCCCAAATGTGGTTTGAGGGCGATAGGTGAATCTCAACAAATCATTTTTTTTTCAGAGTTTATTATTTGGATAATTAATATATATATTAATAATTATAGTTCTGTGTAATCATAATATGTATATATTAAATTATTTAGATAATTTTCTTGGTCTCACTAGGTGTCAGACGTTATCTTCTCCCTTAATTTCCTAAATATCCTGTTCTTAAGATTTTTTTTTTTTTTTGGTGGGGCCCTTCTCTCTTTAGGATTTCTTAAAAGTTTTGAAAGTGTTTCATGAAAATGTTGTAGCTTGTTCTCTAACTAGCATCTTTGTGGGCTGCAGGTGAGAGCCACTTTGGAAAAAGTGAGGAAGCAAATGTATGGAGACTATGGTGAGATGAGACAGAAGATTCGAGAGCTCACCAAGGAGCTGTCAGTAAGTCATTATCTCAGTGACTTGGAAATATGGAGGCATGGTAGAGCTTAGAACTCTTAGTGGCTAGTGCCAGAAGATATTTGAGTATATGATGTTCTTTATGAATGGAATAACATTTTAAATGGACTAAGGGAATTTTATTCACAGAATGAAGTTTATTATTTAAAGGAAAACTTTTGTGGCAAGAATAATTTTCTTTAAATTCAAAGCACTCCAACCAAAGTCAGGAACAAGACAAGGAAGCCAGCTATCACCATTATTATTTAAAAATTTACTAGCCAATGAAATCAAACAAGGGAAATACATACTAAGGTTTGTAAAAGGGACAGGTAGATGTAAAACTATTGTTGTTTACAAACTTTATGATTATACCTGGAAAGGCGAAGTCAATTGATTTAAAAAATACTATAAACAGTAAAAGATAGCATGGTATAAAATTAGTATGTACAAAGAGGTTTGAGTATACAAAAAAAGATGTTAGAAGCAACAGGAACAAAAAGCGTGAAATATCTAGGAGTCAACTTTAACAAATGTAAAGTCATACCATGTGCTTAGAAAGGAATATTCATCATCAAAATATGTCATTATGATCCAAGTTAACATACAAACTTAATATGACCCAATAAAAATACCAGCATGTTTTAGTTTTATTTTGTTTTTCTTGTTTTTTTTTTGTTGTTTTTTTTTTTTAATAGCCGGACTAGGTGATTATAAAAAGAGGTGAAATAAAAAGAGTTGGAAACATTCTGGGGGAAAAAAGAACAATGAAAGGGTAAAACCTATCAAAAGTTAAAAAGAAACTGAAAAAGCCTCAGAGATTAAAACAGTGTAGTATTGGCAGATAAGTAGGCAGATGTCATGAGAAAAAAGATCCAGAAATATACTCCAATATATGACAAATGTAGTATCTCAAATAAAGGCAGGAAAATGAACTAGATGACATATGCTGTTGGGACAACTTCAGTTCTGTTGGGACAGTCTTATACTTGGATAAATTCCAAGTGGTTCAAAGAGTGAAATGCTAAAAATGAAACTTAAAAGTGCCAGAAGAAAATATGTGTGAATTCGTTTATGCCCTTTGAATGAGAGAGGCCTTTTCTTATTACTACGTAAAAATCCCAAAACCACAAAAGAAAAGACTGATAACTTTGACTATATTAAAATGAAAAACTTCAGCTGGTAAAAATACTAAAGTCAAACTCAAATGACAGACTGGGAAAAATTATTTGTCCTCTGTGTCATAGATAAGAGGCTAATTTTCTGAATATTTAAAGAATTCCCCTGAGTGAAGAATTAAAAGGCCTCAACTCATAAAAATGGGTGAAAGATTTGTAACAGGTAGTTTATAGTAAAGATGAAGAGCTTTTAAATTTGTGAAAAGATATTCTACCTCACTCTAAAAGAAATGCGATCAAAACCATCCTGAGGTGTAATTTTCATCTATTAGTCTGGCCAAAGTACAAGAATGGGGCAAGACATTGTTGACAAAGCTGTGGGCAAACTGGCAAGTTGCTGATGGGAATGCAATTTTGTTATTACTTTTAGGGAGGGCAGTTTGGCATCTGTCAAAATTACAGATGCCTAGATCCTTTGACCCAGCAGTTCTATTGCTAAGAATTTATTCTATAGATAGACTCTCACATATGAGAAATGACATACAGATGAACTTATTTATTGCAGCATTGTTTGTAATAGTAAAAAGTTTAGAAACCTAAATGTTTGTCAAGGAGGGGAAAATAAAATAAATGCTGTTATATCTCTGCTATAGAATACACACAGTTATAAAAGAAAAAATGGCAAATGAGCCCTTTAGAAAGAGATGTGGGAAGATTTTAAAGATATAGAGTAGAGGATGAAAAAAGCAAGATGGAGGAAAATATGTCTAGTTTGCTACCATTTGTTTAGAACAGGAGGAGAAAATAAACATTTAAGGCTTGTTTTGTATGTACACAAGAAGTCATTAAAAGGATAATCCAGAAAGTGATTAACAGTGGTTTCCATGGGCAGGGTGGTAACTGAGCAGATGGGATAGAAGTGAAAGGGAGATTTATTTCAGTGTGTACCTTTTATATTTTTACATGTTTGCACCATGTGAATGTATTATCTACTCAAAATTTTAAAAAAAATAGTGTGCCTCTAATTTAACCAAGTTCTCATGGATGTTTTAAAAAATTTGTTATTAATAATCCCAAAGATAAAAATCCCTGTCTATATGACATATCTTCTGTAAGAGTTAATATCTGCAGGAAAGAAGGGCAGTGACAGCAGTTACACATTAAAGTTCAGTTTATAACTGGGCCGGGTGATTACCTGCATAAGACCTACTGCCTTGATTATAAGTGTAGGGGTATATAAACTTATCCACCTATCCCATTTCCACTGGCATGCAGAAGGAGATTTGTGAAATTCTCACCTACTTATGGAAATTCACTCTGCCATCCACTGACAGACACTAATGACTGTCATTAAAGCCAAGGGTTGGATTTGCAATAGATGCATAAACAAGGCTCTGCCCCTTGCTTTCCATTACCATCTCCTGCACACCCTCATTTTCTCATGCTAGAAGTGTCCCAGGAACCCTGTCTCTCTGCCTACAAATCTCTTCTTCAGGTCATCCCACATGCTGCAGCCAGATTAAGATTGCTAAATCACTGCTATGTAAACACATCCCTGAGTAAGAGCATGCCACATATTCCTAGTCCTGGCCTGCTATTTTGATTCTCTGTCCCACTCTAAAGTGCACCTTCTGCTCTGCCGTGCTGGACTACTTCCCACAGCTCCCACCGGCCCATGGAGGTTCACCCCTGAGCCTTCCTTAGTACCCTTACTCCTAGTTCTACCTGTATATGGCCTCTTGTTAAGGTCTAATTCAAGCCTTAACTTGAGTTAGACCTTCTGATGAACCTTCTCCAAACACGTTAAATACTCGCACCCAACAAAGACAGCAGCAACCCTTGAGAAAATAACTCTTGAGAACTGGGTGAGCCCAAAGTATATTCTTTCTGTGGTGAGTAGAAAGAGCAAGATGGTGGACAAGTTATTCCAACTGAGTTTATCTGTGCCACTCTGAGCCTTCGACTACGAGTAAATCATTTAAGCTTTCTGATTCTGTTTCTTCCCCATAAGGGGCAATGTTCTGACTCTTGCATAGTGTTGTTGTGAGGGCTAAGTGAAGCTCTGTGGGCGAATGTGTAAACACCATCCAAAGGAAGAATATCCTTGCCGTTCTACTGACTGGCTCATGCAGATGTTGACTTTAATTGAAAGCTTTACATTAGATATCGTTGAAGTGGATGTCGCTACTATCAGATGAAAGTTCCAGCTTAACTAAAGGTTGTTGTGTGTATAGATTGATTTTGTGTAACTATCTTCTTGATCTGTTCAGGTTTCCCATGCTCAGAAGGACTATCTGGAGAATCACATCCAGACCCAGTCATCTGCCCTGGATAGTTTTAATGCCATGAACTCAGCTTTGGCGTCAGACTCCATTGGCCTGCAGGTACTCATCTGCTCACTGTTAGTTGGGGTCCCTTCTGGTACAGGGCAACCAAGCTTAACCAAGAGTGGATCCTGTGTAAGTCGCAGAATATCCTCAGCTCATTATTCAGAATCCTTTAAGCAGAGCTGCTGTAAAGACTGTGCCCAGAAGATGGTGCAAGAAGTTGAAGGAAGCGTTTCCAAGCCGAGATGCTAAGGCTGTGTTTTTGCCATCATTGATATGGGGGTTTTGATCCTGAGTTCAGTGTTAGAGACATCACTTGCTCCACCAGATAGTCGATAGGGCTAGCTCAACACATCAGCTCCCTTCTCCCTCTAGCCCCAGTATCACAGAAGTTCTATTCAATCATAGAAAAGATGGACTTAACCAAAGACATCTGTACTTTTTCATGGCATCCAATTTCCAGAAGCTTGTAAGCACTTTTTTTTTTAATTTAGAAATTATTTTGCATCAGAAAGAATCATGTATATTCTAAAGAATGTGTTGTGGTATCAGACAGGAAAATAGAAAGACCCATTATCCTACATTTATGAAAATGTGTGTTGTCAACCCATTTCAAGGTATTGTTCTCTTGATTAATATGATTTGCTAGGAGCTAACCGTTCAAATGTTTCCCATTCTTACTCTTCCAACCAAGTTCCCTACCTAGCATGCAAATTAACTTGAAAGTATTCAAAACAAAGCATGGTATTTAGCTTCCCTTGGCTTTGTGTATGAAGCAATACATGAACAATAGTTTCTGCCCCTCCTCCAACTTTATTTGGCTCTTATTTTTTTCACCCTCCTCTTAAAAGTTCCACAAACTCTTTCAAGTCCTTTCTGGTCCTATATAATTTATTAGATAAACAAACAAATTTTCATGTTGGGATTCTCAACTTCCACTTGGCCTAGCATTTTCTAATAACAGCTGGTATGGATGCAGTGATAGCAACAAAGCTAGGCCACTGTCCAGGAGTGGGTCTGGGTGGGCCTTGTGTTTGGTTTTATCTGGGATGCACATTTCTGGTGGAGACTCTGAATCCCACCCTTTTCCTGGCTGTCTTTAGTGTTGCCAGTTTTCCCCTGGCCTCAGGTCAATCCCCATTCTGTCTTGGTTTGCTCCTCTTCCTTCCCTCTTAGATGCCATCTCACTCCCAGCCCACCAGGAAGGGCTTCTCCTCACCTGAGTTCAGACCTAGTTGGTATTTGTACGATGTCTCTGGTTTTTCTTCCCAGATAAAAATATTTGCAATCATTTTCTGGTAATTATTCTGATTTGTCATCAGGCTGACGCTCCAGGCGTTTACCTCAGTTAGAACAGGACCAACTCTAACCCAGGTACCCTGACAGATTCCTAGTTATCATATAGTCTTTTAGTCCTGGGAAGCCCGAGGACCCTTATAAGTAAAAGATGAAATCATTGTTTCAAAAAAAAATAGAGAGAGAGAGAGAGAGAGAGAGAGAGAGAGTGTATTTGTGTGTTGTGAGACAGCGAGACTGAGAGAGTGAGAAGAAAGATACTGTCTCACAGCAGGAAACTCAACTAAGTCTGTAGGTAATTGGCTTCTTATTTATGCAAGACCCCAGCATCCTCCACTGGCCTGTTTTGCCCACTTTCGTTATTATTGGCAGGGAGACCAGACCCTTGGTTTGATTGCATAGAACATCAGAACTATTGAGAGGATCTCCAACCCCTTTGTTTTTTTTTGTTTTTGAGTTGGAGTCTCACTGGGGCGCCCAGACTGGAGTGCAGTGGCCGCTCCCGGCCACTGCAGCCTCGACCTGCTGGGCTCTGGCGATCCTTCCGCCTCAGCCTTCCAAGTAGCCGGAATTACAGGCGCGTGCTACCACGCGGCTAATTTTTTGGTTTATTGTAGAGATGAGGTCTCGCTGCCCAGGTGGGTCTCGAACCCGCAGGCTCAGGCAATCCACTCACCTCAGCCTCCCAAAGGCGCGGGATTACAGGCTGAGCCACCGAGCCCGGCTCCCCTTTGTTTTATAGATAACAAACTGAGGCCATCAGAGGGAAATTACAAGAACAAGGTGTCTAGTTAGTGGCAGAGCCCAGATTAGAATAATTCGGGTCTCGTGGGTCAGATTTTAGGTTTTTATGTAGATACAAGAGTAGAAAATGCAAAGCCAGTGGGGCTAGGGGAGGAGGTGGCTGGCCTAGGTGGTTTCTAAAGCCCCTGGAAGCTCAAATGTTCTGTGAAACCATGCTCCCAAATGGCTTCAATAATTCCTTTAATATCTAATTATCTCCTTCTGAAATTCTTTTCCTGATTCAAGTAGGTTTAGGAGTGAGAGGCTTATTGTCAAAACAGGGACTGAGGATTGGGGAAGCTTCAGAGACTTATCTTCTAACAAAGAGGACAAAGGTGTTAGAAAGATTTGCTTCCAAATCTTCGAATGTGAAGTTGTAGATGATTTGGAGACATGGTAGAAAATGCCTATAATCCAGTGTCCAGTGGTAGGAATTCTCTGGAAGCTATTTCTCTCTGAGGAGAGTTAACCAAGAAGCAATTGAAGCTGTAATGGCAACACAATTATTTTATTTTATTTTTTAGAAAATATAGTTCATTTAGAAAGTAAATTGGAGAGAGAGAGAAAGAGGAGATTCACCTCCCCAAGGGAGGGTAGGGGGCCAAAGCTTAAGAAAACATGACCTGGCCATAGCTCAAAGAGCACATGGCCACATCATAGCTTAAAAAGGCAGTGGCTCAACACTATTAATTTAAGCATTCTTGCTCTGCTGTGGCCTGGAGCAATAATCAACACTTGCTGACACTTGTTTGATACTTGTCAGGTACCTGTCTAAGTTATCAAACTTTAGGCCTTGGTACTTCTTTATCACCATGCTTCTTTGCCTGCGGGAGGAAGGTGAAGCATTTGCAGACATGGGAGTGACCTCAGCCATGTTGTCACTATCCTGGCAGTAAGTCTGGGAGTACAGAAGTGACAGCCTTTTTAAGAAAAAAGGGGGATATCTCCATTCTATAAAGCTCATATTGTTTTCTGATTTCTTTGTGGGAATTTGGGAAACAGAAAAGACAAAAAGAAAATAAATATCCATGGACCCTTTCACATTGTGAAATCTATCATTTGAATTTCCTCCTAATATTTTCTTTCCATATGCATAACCACATATTTGAACAAATACTTAAACATATTTTTCAAAATGGATTTGTACTGTACTGACTGATTTCAAACTTGCTTTTCCATGTGAAATAATGTGTTATGAAATTTTTCCTTGGAAAGCCTCCATTTTAATCCATTTTCATCCATCCTTGGCAGGGGCAAGTGGTGTTGGCAACAGCTATGGGATATTATGGGGGAGGCTCATTGTCCCACCATGCTACAGGGGGACAGAGCTCTTGACCCCTGTGGGAGGCCCACAGACCCTCCTATGGCGGGGTTCTGGGCTGGCAGCTGCTGTGGCCTGATATCTGCCTTGGTGGTTAATGATAAAGTGCATGGAGCTGGCAATGTCTTTTCGCACCACTAGATCTGGCTTAGTTTTTATTTACATCTAAACAGAAAACCCTCGTGGATGTGACTTTGGAAAATAGCAACATTAAGGATCAAATCAGAAATTTGCAACGCACGTATGAAGCATCCATGGACAAGCTGAGGGAGAAGCAGAGGCAGTTAGAGGCCGCGCAAGTTGAAAACCAGCTGCTGAAAATGAAGGTAGAGTGTGTAAGCCTAGATTACTACTAACCTTTCTGTTCTTTCCTTCTCCTCTCTCCTTCCATCCTCAACTTCAGTTTCCTTTTCTCCATTCTCTTCTTCACTGGATTTGTCTCATCCTGATATGGCCAGCCCCATAAAGCTTGGCTTAAAGGCACTGAAGAGGTGGCTGTATCTACAGTTGTCAGTCTAGATTGGGGGTGCCCCATAAACATCCCTTTGGGCACACCTTCCTTGGCCCTCAGTGGCCTCAAGGGCTACTTAGACTTTCACCGTGGCATTGGATATTAAATTAGGCAATTGGGATGCTACAGGTTTGGTACTTCAAAAACTTTGGGGATCAATCCTTTTGATGTTTTGCTTTTCTTTGAGATCCCAAGGCCTTTCTGTCTGTTGACAACAAAGGCAGGCAGTTCACTGGGACCCTCTCAAAAAGAAATGTGGTGGATGACTAAGGGCTCTGGGGAATGTCCCTTTTGCCCACTAGGCTGTGTGTGTTCCTTAGCTGGATTTCTAATACCCTGGAGGTGCTAGTGATTCTCCCAAATTTAAAACATGAATGGATTTCCTATCCAGCTCATAGAAGGCACTTAACAAATTCTATCCTGAATGAATTCTTTTTCACTTAATTCTGTGGTTTTAAAATTAAGTTCAGCACAGTCCTTAGGCTGTCATATGTGTAGTGTATCCACATCATTTATTGCTTAAAGCTGAATATATAGCCGAGCATGGTGGATCATGCCTGTAATCCCAGCACTTTGGGAGGTGGAAGAGAGAGGATCGTCTGAGCCCAGAGGTTTGAGACAGCCTGGGCCACTTGGTGAGATACCTACAATAAAAAGATTAAAAAAATTAGCCAGGTGTGGTATCATGTGCCTGTGGTTCCAGTTACTTGGAAGGCTGAGATGAAAGGATCACCTGAACCCAGCTGGTCAAGGCTGCAGTGGCTGTGAGCGTGCCACCTGCACTCCAGCCTGGGCAGCAGAGTGAGACTCCAGCTCAAAAACAAAACAAAAAACAAAAAATTGAACATGGGAGGGAGTGAAAGATGGAGCTGTTAATAACTTGGTGAGGGAAACAAATGGGGAAGTACAATCCTCTTCCCACAGGCCTCCTCAGGCGGATGGGGAGCTGGATGAGGAGGAGCCCTGCCGTGATGCACAGCCTGTCTCCGTACTGCCACCCCTGGGGATCTGCCCTCACAATCCTCCTGGCCTGACACAGCCATCCTGGGGAGCAATAGGATAAATCACCTCCTCTTTACTTTCACTTTGAACAGGACATCGCTTCTCTTTACTATTTCACGTATTGTGTTTCTAAGTAAGAGTTTGAGGGGGTGGAAAAAAGGTTTGTTACTGAAAAAGTCTGAAGTTATTTATTTTAGTATTATTTATTTATTTAAGCTTAGGAACTTTATCCAGTCCTTTAGTCCACAAGTATTTATTGAGTGTCCACTATTAATGTATATGTTGTATCTGTCTGTCTGTCTTGTTCATTCCTTTTTGTTCCAGAGGTGGCATGTCACCAGGTATCTGGGGACATCATCAGGCAGCTTGACAGTCTGTCTGTCTGCTTCCCTGGGATCCAGGCGTCTGAGTTCAGCCTACAGTTGCCTGTTTAGAGCCTGATGCTTTTCTGCAACCTGACAGTGGAGCTACATATGTTTTTCCCTACTTTTTTTCTCATTTTACCTCCAATTAAAAATAAAAAGTTACAGGGACTCAGAGCCCTCTCTAACAGTCTGGGTGTGAGTGGAAATGGAGCGCAGGGCACATGGGGTTTTCTAAGCTAAGGATCACCTCTACTCAGGATTTCCCATTTGGGGACATGTTGGTGCCAACACCTGCCCATCGATGAGAAGGGAGCATGAAAGGGCATCAAGAGAGACTTGTCACATCTTTGAAGTAAACATCACACAACCTATGGAGGTCAGGTATGCAGCAAACTCAGCTCTCTAGAATAAGCAATAACTTGGAAGGAAGGGACAAAAGCAAACCTTCAGCAGCATGAAATCACTGGCAGGAGCTGCATGTGAGGATGTGGCATGGGCAGATCAGAAACACCAGCCGCCACTAACCTAATCCCTGCCCACACATAGTTCCACTGATTTTTTCTCATCTCCTAAACCATTAGGGTGCCGGGCTTAGTGTTCTCCAAATTAGGCTGGAATGTTTTCAAACCCAACATTTAGAAAAGCACAAAGGCATGGAAAGGATGGGTCCAGATTTCTTATTCGAGCTTGACTGAAGTTTTCCCTAGAGATTGACTTGGCCAGTATATTTAATGGGATTGCATAGAGAAGTAAGTTTCCACCTTCTGAAAAATTTACTCATGTGGAGTACCTTTGTCCTGATGATGCTCCATGAATTCATGTCAAGTGCCACTTTTTTTCTGTACCTCTGTGTACTCCTCTTTCTTCTGTCCCTTTCCCTGTTAGGTCCTGCTTTTCTCTCCTGCAGACCCCAGTTGATGGACTCACTACTGTTGAACTAGCAGGATACAGAGTAGAAGCTGCTGACTCCCCTAGAGCCTGCAAAAGCTGTAGTTCTGAAATGAGTCTCTTTGCAGGTGGAATCATCCCAAGCAGCCAATGCCGAGGTGATGAGAGAGATGACCAAGAAGCTGTACAGCCAGTACGAAGAGAAGCTGCAGGAAGAACAGCAGAAGCACAATGCCGAGAAGGAGGCTCTTCTGGTGTGTGTGTTGTAGCTGCCAAAATAAAATAACAGGGTGTTCTTGATTCATTACTGTTGGTGAGGTTTAAGTAGTAGGATTTCTTCTTAGAGATGAGTTAGTGGACTCAAACATGAGTGAGGGGCCAAGGAATTATTCATTTGCTCGTTCCTTCTCCTCTTTTCTTTCCTCCCTGTCTTTATTCATCCCTCTCCCTGCTCAGAATAGCTTTCATCTCTGTCCCTAAATACACACCTTGCTCCAGCTCACCTGACCATTTGTCAGCATCTAAGCAGACCCTGGGCTTGCCTGCAGCTGGGCCCTTCCATGCTCCATTTGCTCCTTTCAGCCGGAAATTCCCTCCTTTCCTGTCCTTGATCCTATCTAAGCTCCCTAAAAGTTTTGAAAATGCCACCACCTCCGTGCATGAAGCCTCTCCCATTCTTACAGCTAGAAGTGTCCTTTGTCCTCGTAAAGCCCACTCTCTCCTGTTCTTTGCTGTGGAATTCTCTTATACCTGTCGTTAGAGTTGGGCTGTGCATCTCATGTCTTGACTTCTCTAGAAGAGCATGAGTTCCTTGAAGGCAGAGACTCCACGTCTGCCTCAACCGTGTCCTTTGAGTCTTAATACATGTGCTGAATGATTAACTGAGCTCTCTTCTTAGGAGCAAGTTAGTGCATTGCAGTGTGGGAGAAGGATCTGGGAATTCTGCATTTGCTTCTAGATCTGGCCCTAATTCCCTTTACACTGTTGGCAAGTACAGTGACACTCCAAGCTTCTAGTCAATGTTATTTAAATATTTGTAGACCCCTGTTATACCTTTTGGACATAAAGACTCAGGGAAAAAGGAGAAAAAGTAATGAGACTCATTAAAAAGCCAAATGATACGACTTTATTCATAGGTGGGAACCCAGAATCATGTGTTCACAATCTGTGGGACCCTTTTAGTCCCAAAGTCAAGAGATTTCATGATTTAGCAAGGTCAGAGCTGCTTGGACCCTAGTGAGTGGCCTTGGTATTCCATGCCTGGACTTAGGAAAGTGTGTTTTTTTTGCAGGAAGAAACCAATAGTTTTTTGAAAGCGATTGAAGAAGCCAATAAAAAGATGCAAGCAGCGGAGATCAGCCTGGAGGAGAAAGACCAGAGGATTGGGGAGCTGGACAGGCTGATTGAGCGCATGGAAAAGGTAAGACAGAGCCCTGGGTCTGTTGCCCACTTGCCCAAACGACTCTGCTTTCCCTTGCAGGCCTGTCTGAAGATAAGAGAAGTCCTCAAACTGACCCCTTGTTTTGCCTCAATTTGCGATTAAAAAATTTTAAAAAGACAAAGCTATAAAATAAAGTATAAGGAAATCCAGCAAAGTTCTGATTTTTTCCCATGGTAACTCTTTTGATGCTTTAGAAAAATTACATGTGAAATTCTTTACAAAAATTAAGATTTCAGCAGCCCTGCTTTGCTGCTACCCCAGACATGAACTTAGTTTACCTATTGAATTGTCAAGCCCTATTTAGATGTTATTTCAACACCACATCCTTGTTGTTTCCAGAGCATGTGACTCAAGGGTTGGCTCTCCCCCCATATGCCAGGAATTTGGAGAGTGGGGAGGCCCCCTTTCTCTGGAATAGGCTGATGGGTGGGAAAGGGGAACCTGAGGAAGGCTGAGGTAATGAAGCCTGTGTAGAGAAAGGAAAGAGTCTGAAAATTAGGCAGGAAGTAAAGAAAAGGGAGGAAGTGGTGAGGGAAAAAAAAGAAGGAAGAGAAAGGAAGGGTGACCTTTAGCAGATGACAGCTGACTTCTGGGGAAGGGCCCAGGAGCTTGGAATCTATGACTGGGTTCTGGAAAATGGCTCTCAAGCTGCATATGAGTTTGCAGAGAGCAGTGATCTGACATGGCCTTGTCATTATTAGCACTCCATGACCCCTGCTATGGAAGCAAGGGAAGGGCAGCATGAACAAAGTCACTGTCTGGGCTTCCTGTGATTCCGAGAAGAGGTCTTATGGTGTCTGCAACATAAACCCTTTTACAGTTAGTCCCCTGACAAGTTGATGTGTCTCCAGTATGGAAACACTTCAGTGTTTTGGGCTTCAGGGCTCATTGGAGACTCCGTTTTAGCTTTTTATTTGGGAGGGGCTTGGGCAAACTAAAGAGGTAGTTACAATCTCACTTCTACCCCATGGAAAAACAGAATCTCATCTTTTCTTGAAGAGCAGATGATTGGCCCATTTAGGACTAACATTAGTATTGATTGGGTTGGGTGGGTGGGGGTGGTAGTGAAGACTGGGCAACAAGGGTACTTTCTGGAACTTGGTTGAACTTTCTCCCACATTATAATCTTCTTCAACAGCAGAAGATGCTGTTTCACTCAAATGCTGTCTTCAGGGGCAGGGTTTTCTTGCACATAAAGAAGCAAGGTGAGCAGGCATCATGATAGAATTGGTTTGAGCATGAAGCTGTCTTACAGAGACCCTCTACCTGTAGTAGTTAGGAATGTAGTGTTTAGGATCAGACTGACCTAGGGTTTGGCTCTTGCCTCTCTTTCTTGTTGTAGGCAGTTACTTGATTTTTCCAAACCCAGTTTCCTCTTCTGTAAAATGCTGATAATGATACTTTTTTATTTTGCAGGCTTTTGTAAGAAATAAATGAGAGACATCCCTGCCAGGTGCTAAGCATAGTTCCTGGTACATAGTAAGGGCTCCATCATTGAGGCATTGATATTTTTTTTTTTTTTAAGTCAGAGTCTCACTCTTGCCCAGGTTAGAGTGCAGTGGCTTGCTCACAGCCACCGCAGCCTCGACCTGTTGGGCTCAGGTGATCCACTTCAGCCTTTCAAGTAGGTGGAACTACAGGGGTGTGCCACCACACCCAGCTAATTTTTTGATTTATTGTAGAGATAAGGTCTCACCATGTTGCCCAGGCTGGTTTCAAACCCGTGGGCTCAGGCAATCCTCTCACCTCAGCCTCCCAAAGTGCTGAAATTACAGACGTGAACTCCTGCGCCCGGCAAGGCACGGGTTTTTATTTTGCTATTAGCTTTACAAACTGCTCCCAGAATCAACTTTTTTTAGGTGGACCCTATTTTATGGCTAATCTTCTTTGTATCCTTGGGTTTCAGAAAGTTTCTAGTCTTTCCTCACTGATTTCTCCATGGTGCACTTATGCAAGGCGAATGGGTGAAAGCCAGGGAGGTGATTTGTCCAGCCCTCCTCCACAGCATTTTGGAAACACAAAATATTCCCCCAGCGTGTTGGCTTCTTTAGTGATTGGAAATTTATTGTCCTTTCTCTAAATCTTTCTTTTCATTTAGGCTAAAGCAATGCTTTATTTATTTAACTGAGATTAGATAGACCAATTTATGCTCTTTCCTTTTCAGGGATAAATCTTTGAGAGCAGGAATCTGGCCAAATCTCTGTCTCACACTATGTAAACAGCATGTCCCTAGGCAGGAACTGTGGCAGTATGTGCGTTTTGCTCCCGCTTAGTTTAGAATTTTGCTTGAAGACAAACTGTGTACTTTCAAATGGCGTCTCTGCTATATACCTTAGTTTACTGTTTCTCTTATTGAGTATTTTATTTGAAACAACTTTTTTTCTGATTAGTAAAAATCTTTTAAGGAGCGTTCTCTACCAGAGACCCTCCTGGAGAACAGATAGTAATCTATGCCTTAACCTAAGTGATGGTTTCACAAGTGTATACAAATATAAGGAATTATTGTGCATGTCCACTTAAGATTTGTTTTTATGTTTGGGCACGTTCTACTTTATGACAGCCTTTTTTTGGAGGGGGGCACTCACTGTGAAAAATCCATCCCTGTTATTTCAGGGTTAGCATAAACTTCCAGCCGTTGGCATGCCACATTGGGCAAAGGGAACATTCTGCCTTGGCCATGCCATAAAAATGTGCATTTGCTGTAGAAATCTAAAAACAACAATAGGCCAGGTGCAGTGGCTGATGCCTGTAATCCCAGCACTTTGGGAGGCCGAGACAGGAGGGTTACTTGAGTCCAGAAGTTCAAGACAAGCCTAGGCAGCATAGTGAGACCTCGTTGCTGTAAAAAAAATTTAAAAAATTAGCCAGCATGGTGGTATGTGCCTGTAGTCCCAGCTACTTAAGAGGGCTGAGGTGGTAGGAATTCCAGAACCCAGAATGTTGAAGCTGTGGTGAGCCATGATCATGCCACTACACTCCAGCCTGGGCATCAGAGTGAGAACCCAACTCAAAAAAAAACCCCTCAAAGCAATAACAAAACCCCATTTGTCTACTTTTATTATTCTAAATATGTCAGTGATTAGGTGCTCTTCCTGGCATGATGGAATGCTCTCCCACCCCTTTGGCCTACACCTTTCTGTTATCACTGCTTACCACTTCAGAAGTTGTGGGAATTAAATTTTCAAACATTTGCTTTTAATAATTTGGTAGAAAAGAGGTTTGGAATCTATATAACTAGTAAGAATTTGTTGGGTAGACATAAAGATGAGGTACATTAGTTCTTAGAGAAGACCCAAAAGTATAATAATTATTTTATATTATTATGTTAATAATAATCTCAGTTAGTGAGCAGGATTTGACAAACTTCCATTTTAAGGGAATTTATTCCACTGACATCTGTAATGTATTTCTAGTGCGGTTTCAGTTATGATGGGCGCCATAGTTTTATTCACATTTTTCTACTTTGTCCAAAGGAATAACTGGAGACTCTTACTTTTTTTGAAAATTCCAAGTTTACACATATATAGCAAAATGTACAAAGTGCACAACTTAATGTATGTGTATTTCCTCTTGGTACTGTAACAAATTACCACAAAGTTAGTGGCTTAACACAATACAGATTTGTTAAATTTTACATTTCTAGAGGTCAGAAGTCCTAAAAATCCAGGTGTTGATAGGGCCAGATTCCTTTTGGAAGCTTTAGAAGAGAATGCATTTCCCTACTTTCTCTAACTTCTGTATTCCTGGGCTTATGGCCTCTTCTTCCTGCTTCAGAGCCAGCTGCAGAGCGTCTTCCAATCTCTCTCCCTCTGATTCTGACCCTACTGCCTCCTCCTGATAAGGACCTAACTGGGTAACCCGGGATCATCTCTTGATTTTATCTCATTCACAATTGCTGACGTGAATTTACATCATTCCAAATTCTGTTCCTGGTTGCTGCTGATGTGAATTTACATCTTTGCAAATTCTATTTCTGAATGCTGCAACGTTATCATATGTATGTGTTATTATATTTTGCTTGAAAATGAATAGTGAGGTAAGGAGAGAGAAAGTTAATTGAGATAATTATCTGATATTGACTGTGCAATGTTGTTATTGATTTACGTAGTTGGTAAAAATTGCAGGTTGGTTATTATTTTGTTGTGATTACTGTTGTATACTTGTATTTTGATATTTCAGGACTTTCATATTTCAAAGTTAAAAATAAATTACCATAATTATGGAAAATGAAGAAATAAATGCTGACAAGATTTCTGAGGTTGAAAGTGAATCCAGTGAACTTATTAGTGATAGTGAGACAGATAGTGATATAATGATGCGATACAAAGACATAATATATATATATATATTCTGTTTATAACCTGAATAAAAATACGAAGGACGGAATGCTAGTCAGAGTGGTGTTTAAGGCAAATACTGAATATTTCTGCAACTTTCAGCTGTATTGTGAAAAAGGTGACAATTTAGAAAAGACCATTTCACTTGTGCTTAATTCAGAAGTTTGCGGCAACCAGCTTTAGATTTTTAAAAATTTTCACCTGCTCTATTAGGAAAGTGCAAAATTTGCCAGTTGTGAATGTGTTAAGATCCTTAATCACATCTGCAAAGTTCCTTTTCCATGTAAGATAACATACAGGTTTTAGGGATTAGGACGTGGACATTTGGGGGTGGGAGATTATTTTGACTATCATAACATTTTGTTACAAGTGAACACACCTATGTAAACACCATCCAGGTTAGTATACAGAATATTACCAGAATCCCAGAGTCTCTTTTCTTGATGATTCAGAATAAAGAATTTTGCATTATCACAAGCCACCAATTTAGCAAGCTATCAATTTATCATTATTTAGAAATATAAATTTTCTCAAAATGTCTGAGCCTGGGCTGATGGAATGCTTTTTAAAAATAAATCTTGAAAAAAAAAATCTTGAATGATTTTATCTAGGATATTTGTCTGATTCATAAATACATCTATAAATACAAAACAACAGATTTGGCACTTTTGAGTCTTGTTTGGACTCTGTAAAACCCAGGGGTGTTATATAGACATGGACTTTCTAGTGCTGGAATTGCTTGGTGGACATTCTCTGTCCAATTCGGGGGTCCATTGATGAAAACATCAGTTCTTGTTTGTCTTAGGAACGCCATCAACTTCAGCTCCAGCTCCTAGAGCATGAAACAGAAATGTCTGGGGAGATAGCTGATTTTGACAAGGAAAGGTAAGATGTAATGTCCTTTGTTTTATCATGGGTTTAGATGGTAGACACACTGTGCTTCTGTAGGCTTATTTGACCCTTGCATTTTTATTTAGGTGATCATCACTTGTTATGAACTCAAATGTGTAACAGGGTTGAGAACTTCCAATATGGAGCAGATTTCTTTACAACCTTCCAGTCACATCTTACAACCCATGACTGGTTGTTAGTGGAGTGGAATACATCAGACTATTGCAAGTGCAAAAGTTCAGTCTATTAATGTCCTCCATCACCTTGAATTCCACAGGATGCACCTTGAGAAAAGTCATCAACTGTGACTAGTACCATTTGCCCTGGAAACTAATATTTAAATGCCTTTCTTTGTATCCAAGTTTTGCTTAGTAAAACCTTGCATTGTGCTCTGGCTATGAGTGTATAAAGCTCTGCAGGAAAACATGGGAGTGGTGGTATAACATCTTTCCTAGAAAGCAAAAGGCAGAGAGGCCATGCATGGCTCTCTAGAGAAGGAAAACAAAATTGGGATGATTTGAGTGTCTTGGGCAAGTTACTTAACCTCCCTGATGGTCTTGCTTCTCTGTGACATGGAAATTCTTTTTTTAAAGGGGGAGAGGGTTATGACGATAATGACAGCGCCCATCCTATTGAGTTATTATTGTAAGGAAACTGTTGGGCATGCTGCCTGCCACATAGGGTGTGCTGAAAAAATACCTGTTTTGCTTCCTCATTTGCAACTTCAGAGTTTTGGGGATCATAGAAGGCTTTATTAGTTTATTTTTTGAATTTTTTTTATTTTAAAGATATGGGATACAATTCAGGATTAAGTATACAAGTGGTCATTGTATAGGTAAAGTTTGGGCCTCCGCCTCCTTTGGTCCCCACTTTGCCTGGTTTGAGATCAGGTGCTCTTATTGATGTTTTGTGCCGTGTCTCTCCCCCCACCTCCAGCAGTTTCTGGCTGCTGTCAATCCCTTTCTTATTGGATTATGGTAAATGTTCAGGGTCCGCTTTTGAATGCGAACATGTCACTATCTTTAACATAGTGCTAATGCAGAGATGAGGAGTGGGAAACAGACCATCATATCCTTCCTCCCGTGCCTCACTCCTGTGATGCCAGAGAACTGAGGGTCCATCTGCCAGTTCCTTTTGATTCCATTGAACTAAGCAAAGTCGGAGAATAATTTGTACTGTTTAAAACAGATGTATGAAATGTTTTGTGATGTGGCCTGCTGTATTTTGATGCAGAAGAGATCTTCAACTTGTTCCCCATTTGTCCAAAATAAATGATGTGTAGAGCAACTATGATTCCAGACTTTCCAGGGGTCTGCCATTAATTTCAGATATTTTCTGAAATAAATCTTGAAAAAAATAAAATAAAAATAAATCTTGAATGATTTTATCTAGGATATTTGTCTCTGATTCATAAACACATTTATAAATACACAACTCCTTCTCTGTTCTCCTAATCAAGGTGATTTACTATATGTTGCAATATTTTATTAACCCCTAAATAGGAAACTTCTCTTGTCTCTAAGTGGTTAAAAAAAAAAAGGCAGACCAAAAAAAAACTTCCTCCATCCCTGGAAAGTAACTATCCTTAAATAGGATAAAACTTGCAAACAGGAACTTAAGAAAGATCCTCCTTCTCAGGTGGGTGGTTGGTTTGTGGTTAATCACCCAGGATACACACAAAGTAAGAAGAGTGCATCGTGGGGTTTCATTTATTGTTCTTGGCAATGTTCTTGAAAGTTGTGACTTTTGTGCTGATGTTGCTGCCTTGGCTTAGGACTTATTTGCTTTTCTTTTCTATTTTTTCTAGGTATCGGCAGCTGGAGGAGGCATCAGCCAGCCTCCGTGAACGCATCAGACACCTCGATGACATGGTACACTGCCAGCAGAAGAAAGTTAAGCAGATGGTTGAGGAGGTAAGCACTTGTAAAAGGCCCAGGGCCCAGGATTGCTTCCTGTGATGGGGAAGCATCAGCCTCAGAACAGATCCAGTGTACCTCTCAGTTCCCTCTGACTCACAGGCGAACTTGCCCGGGCCTCTGCCATCTTAGCCCAGGGCAGGATTTCCTCACCTGCCCCTCATGGACTGATGATGACCCTTCTAAAAGAGGGATTTCTCCAGATCAAAGGGTCACAGTTAAGAAAACTGGGAAGTGCAGTTCATAAACTCACCTACTTTCTAAGAACAGAGATAGCCTCTGTGGGTGCCCACAGCTCAGGGGACAGAAGGGTATGATGAGAATGTTGACTTTAGCTCAAGTCCCTGCACGCCTCCCATACTTGCCCTGCTCACTCTCCTGGCTACTACTCTTGTCCTTTCTCCTTTTTTGGGTGTGTCTTCTAGTCTGTCTCTTTCATTCCCTTTCCTATTGCTCTCTCTTTTTTCTCCCTTCCTCATTCTCTTCTCCAACCCCTGTTTCTTCTTTATCCTTTCTCTTTTCCACCATCCTTTCTGTTCTTAACTGTCTTGTAACAGAAAACCAAGTTAGAGATTTACTATACTGGGCATAGTTTACTATTCTGTTTTCTTCTAAATGAGAAAAACAAAGCAGGTAAGTTGAACATTTTTATTTCTCTAAAAGGAAAACCAATTCTTTAAACTTGTGCCCGTGTAATCTGCCTGTCTTTTTTGTGGTGAGGCTCAGTACAAGAAAGTCCATGCTGTGGTCAAGCTCATCACATATTATTGTAGTATTTTTCTTGCTCAATTAAGAGATCTGATAGAAAAAGGAACAGTTAGTACTAACAGGGTTATAAGAAGTCTCTTGGGTCTGGTTCTCTCACTTGCAAAGAAGAGGCTTCAATTTAATTAAACATTTGGTTGCAGTGTAAGACAGTAAAAACATTTTCCTTACATTAAGCACTATCTAAAATTGTTTCATTAATTAATTATTAAAATTAAAAGTATATTTAATTTTAATAAATAATTCATATGGCTGACAGACAATTAGAAGAGCAAATGTATATCTATTAACCCATAAAATGTTGGGGAAGTTACTGCGGTGAGGTTAAGGCCAGGGAATTGTGAGGATGGGGAGGAACACCTCTTTTTTTTATTGCATTTAGGATAAACTACACATTAAATAAAATCTTGTCTCCACACGAGAAGTTCAGTCATACTGTGTTGACTCATGTATGTCTTATACTGGTTCACACACAAATTTTGGGGGAGCATTGGAACAGCAGGGACTCAGAGGAAGAAGCCATGCACGCATCTTCACAGTTCCTTTGTGTACCCAGGTGAGGGCACCGCCCGCGACAGTGAAGAGGAGGGAGATCCTGTCCTGTCGTCAACACTTGGTAGATGTCAACATTAGATAGAGTGTGTTTTCCAAGAAAAAGCATCACTTTGCCACAGCTTGCATCTCAGTGAACCTAGGCTGTTGGAGTATAGTTTTTCTGCTTCTGAATTTCACACACACGGAGTCTGAGGCAATGGAATCCCTTATTTTCCCTCACATGACTCCTTAACTGTGGGTACTACATTTCTCCCACCTCACCACAGGGGGGTGTCTGTGTTGTTCTTGTAACTAATATTAGAGAACCATTGAACAAAACCTCATATTGGTTGACTTCTGATTCAATTAAACCCTTATCTGCAAGTTCAGACTGGTACCAAAATCGGGGACACTTTTTAAAAAAAGACATTTTCAAAGAAGTTTAGGATTTTCTATTTTCTAACCTACTTCTAGGATTTAACAAACATACCAATTTGAAGGGTGTGGGAAAATAAACACGCGCGCGCGCGTGCAGACACACACACACACACACACACACACACACACACACACACACACACACACACAGAAATAGGGTTACATACAGATCACTTTTCATGCCTTACTTGTTTATCTGTGATTTCATAATGCCCAAATAATTTTCTCCAAGCTCTGATATTGTGGTTTGGAAGGCCCAGTCACTGGAATGAAATGACAGGCTGAAACTTAGGATCCCACCTCAGAGTTAGCACCATCTGCGGGCTGGCTGGGTTTCAACAGAGAATAGAAAAAAGAGAGAGACAGAGACATTTTTTACTCTTAATTTAAATTATCTAAACCAGGTTGTAAAAATTATTGTGTATGTCCTAGTATACCACGTTAGCTTATTAAGAAAAATATGACTTAAAATCTTAATTGTTACAGCCATTTATGTGAGTACTTTTTTTTTTGAAGTTAGAAACATGGAAAAGGGACACTGACAGATGAGCACATTCAGAAGAGCAGGGCCAGGTTGGAAAGGAGTTGAGAACACTAGGAATTCAGGGAATGGTTGAAGAGATTGAGGAAGACATGGCCAAGGAGAGACAGGAGAGCTGAACTCACATCTTAGAAAACCATCATGAAGAGGGAATATACTTTTGTTTTATATTGTGATGCAAGGCCAGGCCAGAACCACTGGGTGGCACTTTCAAAAAGGCAAATTGCAGCTCTTTATTCAAAATAAAAACGTTTCTAATACGGGCTGCCCTGAGAAGGCATTTAGCTCTTTATCACGGTACATTCCTTATGAAGTAAGAAACTGATTTGGAAGATCTCTAGTGTTCCTCCAAAATTCCATGTTCTGTAATCTGAAAGATGATGTGGAAGGAATCTGGTGACTTTGGTAAGTGTTCCTTACATAAAGAATTCTCCATTGTTTCTTATGCTGTGCTTGTTATAATGATCTCAGCATTAATATCATGAGCAGAATCAGCAAAGTCATAACTACATCACTTCAGATCACTTGGGCCAAATTCTGAAAAATCCAGACTACTGAACTGGTCTCTTAGGGAATCTTGAACTCTGACTTTAGAGGAGAAGTAGATTTGTATCTGGAAACTCCAGCTACCTAGGCATAGAGGCAGTCTTTAAGTGTAGCTGATGTTAGGATCAACTTTCCTCCTCTCAAATGAAGTCTGGAAGCGCATCTGCATCATAGCCTCACATTTACCAAGGATGGGAGTCTTGTCCCCATCCATTGTTGGTACCATTTGGCTATAATGTCTGTGAAGAAACTTAGTTTATTAAAACGATGGGCTTCTTTTTTCAGCTCAAAAGTCTAGGTATTACTACTGAGGTTCCTGGAATCCTTAAATGTTAAGCAATATATTTCTTCCCATTTCAGTAAATTATCATTTGGTTATAATAATAATAATAATAATAAATGGAATAAAAAATAACTGGCCCAAGTTTTATTGTCCTTAGCTCAGTAATGATTTGCATTGTGTGAGGCAGTAAGGACTTGTGTTAGGTAGGAAGGGCTCATCATTGGTGGGGGGAGGGGCTTTTGAAATGAAAGATTAGTACAGTAAGTTCCTTACATATGACTTCTGTTCCAAGAGTGCATTAGTAAGTCCAGTTTGTTCTCAAGTCGAACAAAGTTAACCTAGGTACTCAACTAGCATAATTGGCTGTATAGTACTGTACTCTAGTAGGCTTATAATATTTTCACACAAATAATACATAAAAACAAGCACAAAAAATAAAATATGTTAGATCTTACAGTACAACACATGACAATGTGTGCCAGACACGTGAATTAACTTACGTGAATGGACATGCTAGCAATATGCTAGCATCTTCGAAAGCTAGCAACTTGAACATTTATATGTAGGGGATTTACTGTATATGTCTTATGGGGTCAAATTCATCGCAAAAAGACAACACAAAATGTTTTCTGTGAAATGTGGGACCAAATACCCTACTAGGCTAGGTCTTTCCAATGAATTAGGTCTCCTTTTGTCACAGACATCAGGGATTGGGTATCTCCCTCCTATCACTAGTTCTTCCAGCTGGTTCTGGTTCTGAAAAAAAACAAAACCAAAAAAGCCCCACATGTAACCCTTTTAGACTTTTAAGGGTTTTCCAGAAAATATAGAGAAATACCAAACTGAAAAAAAAAACAGCACTCAAGGGGATATTCATTCATTCACTCATCCATTTATCAGATATCCACCAGCACTTGCTTTGTGCAGGGACTGGGGTACACAGTGGGAGCCATGCTGACAAGGGCCCGCTGTCCTGGATCTTATCCTGTGGTGTTACCAAAATTCTAAGGTCATCCTTGCCCTTGGGCATTATTCTTCTGATGAAAAAACCTTGTTGTGATTGGTCCTTGGTCTTGCATCAGGCTGCATTCTTGAGATTGCTAGGAAAGGCACTGGGAGAGCCAGAAGGAGTAGGAAGCAGAGGAGGATGCTGAGGCCAGAGCAGTGACCCTCACTCACACATCTTTTAGTGTGACTTCTTCAGGTCACAGGGTCAATCATGCATCTTTTTCTGCTCTCACCAGTCTACTCTGGCCTAGTCTGCTGCCAATCAAAGCAGCTCTCCTGCCAAGGGGAAAATGATCTGGAGGAAAAAACAAATTCTTATTTTTCTGCCAAAAGGGTGGACTTCTATTTTTTCCCAATGGGCAGTGATATTGTTCAGTTGAATAAGTAATACTTTAGTAAGAGTTCTTTACTGTTTTCCAGTGCAACCATTAGGCATCCTTTCTTTTTATTGTCTTTCTTTGGATTTCCCATTGCCATTTGTGATATGGAAAATGTCTCTTCTTTCAAAAAGTGCCTGAAGGGAGTTTCTCTTCATCTGCAGAGAAGGCATTATTTCTTTAGGCTTCTTTTGTCAAAAGCAGTTGCCCTCTACCCCGTTTGCTATAATTTAGATGTTTAAGAAGTGCAAAGGTGCAAGGAATTGATTTTCTCATTAGTGTTTCTCCACCCAGGCTGTACATTAGAATCACCTGGGGAGCTTTAAAAAAAATGTCTGAACCTGGCAGATGGGGGTGCAGGCAGACTTGGGGACTGGTGATTTTTGTTTGTATTTTATCTCCACAAGTGATTTCTATAAGCAGCCAGGATGGGGAATCGATGCCCTGGATTCTCAGTACAGTGACCTGGCTCTCCCTGTTGGGTTTCCTGTTGTTGACACATTTG